CTATACTCTCATAAAGCACGCTACAATAAGCCGATCAGAATCCCTGTTAGAATGGTTCAAACAATCTGATTGGCTGTACAAGACTAAAGCTGTCAAAAGTGTCAAACCATCAAAGTTGAAAAACCATCAAAGTTCACAATCTGCGATAGTTTACAAACTAAAATAGTTCGGCAGGTCGATTTTAACGCTTTTGCCTGACGTTTTTAATACAGAATCTTCAAGTGAAATGTTCAGTGAACTTCAGCCGAATTATGGCTCTCAAAAAACACGCGAGTTTTTTCACATGACAAGGTAGAAAACAAACTGTTTAACTGAATTTATTCTTTCCAAAGATCATCATAAGGTAATAGGTTTGTAGTGTCAATAATTTTTACACTTAAAACGTTAAAAACCCATTGTTGTTTCAAGAGGTCCATTAGTTGAGCCACAGGTGAACAAACTTTATCCCCAGGCTACCACGTTGGTCGATGGCATTTTGACAAAAGAAGTGAGTTCCTACTCGTTTATCAACCCACTGGTATTTCATTTTATCGTGATTATCTCCGCGCACGGGTGAAGTATCTTTAAAGAGATACCTTTTTTCATTAATCGCAGGTAAGACGTTTACTGTGTATTTACTCAAAAGGAAAATAGAAGGACGTTACTTTCTCTTGATTTACTTGAAAAATAATCTACTCATGCTTTACAATGTATTTACACCAGAGACAGTAATGTAATATTATATTCTCTTGAACTCAGCCATCATTATAGATTAACAGAGTTTTGAGGAGAGGAACTTTTTCGTAAGGTTATCTGTATACCATCAAGCTCGTGACAAATGTTGTATTGCTGAGGGCTGACAATTGTCCTAAGATGTAACCAAATCCTGAGTCCACCTTTTACTTTCAAGGAAGACTGTTAGGCTGCTACGCCAACTCGGCAGGTGGAAAAAATAAAGATCTATAACCACCTTGAGGAGCTTAATTTTAAAAGCTGAAGCTCTTTAGCGAATGTTAGCCCTGCGTTGAAACAAGTAAGTGCGCCATTATTTGTTATGTCTCTCCGCCTGTTTTGTCCTTCAGTGAAACCAAGAAGGTAGGGCGCCCCAAACTGAACAAAAAATTTCAACAGCGAGTACCAGCTAAAATTCAGACTTTACCATTTCATATTTATTTCAAACGTAACTTGGATCCAATAGACTTCTCTTTCGGTAGCGGTAGCCTCTTTGTTTACTAAAACAGGTGCTTGCGGAAAACCTCCTCTAGTTTCAACGTATATTTTATATTCTCGGATAAATCTATCGTTTAAAAATCGTGGGCACTTCACGTTGTTAAATCGTGTACAACACAATCCCGAGCAAGATTTTTTCTAGTAGGCATGTTAGACGACAAACTGTCACATGCTGCGCGAAATGCACCTACAGCGTCTTTAAGTTCAGTGCAATCAAATTTTTCTAAAACAATCTTCAGCCATAACAGAGGAAAACAAAAAGAGAGAGGCTCAAAACAGCTGCATAAGAAGCCAATTATATAAATTAAGGCTTTTGGTTGGTTGTTGTCAAAGGTTGTTGTCATTGCGCAACTTACCAAAACCCAAATCAGATGACATTAGTAAGAATGTATGTACTAAGAAGACTGGCATGTGTTACCAATGGTCACGCTGTGCCCGTCAAAAAAAAACTACACCATATCTTAACCTTTTATACCCTTATATCAATATACATATTCTCCATACTGTTCTCTATACATTTCCTGAATTGCTGACAAGAAGAAGTTGTTTAAAAATCACGAGCTTCTTTAGTTGGGCATGATCACATCCTCTATACTCATGACCTCAATGAGTGATCCAGGGTGATACTGCACGTAGAAATTAGATGCTAGCTCTCTCTTGATACTAGTGACTCTAAGGGGTCCAAGATTTCATTTCCCTGGTTGATTTCTTCACCGCTTCACCCGCTGTTACCAGATGTTTCTCACTAAATTTTTTTTTTAGTTTTTTGGTAACTTCATGTCTTAGAATTTTTTGTTGAGCTTAGTGAGGGGCCCTGAAGTCTTAAGTTATTAATCGCAATTGATATGATCATGTAAAATCCAAACACCACTTCATTAACTCCTTTGGATTTTTTTTTGTTTTCCTTTTGTACGCTGTTTTGTTTAAGAATCTTATTATTTTACATCGCTTGCGAGGAATGCTTTAGTGTAAAAATGTACCTGTTCGTATTGGGTTTCAGTTCGGTCTCATAGATCGCAGTTCAAATCCAGTGCAGCCTGAGGTAAGCCCAGCCGTAAGTGTTATTCGTTAAGTTCCCGCTATCCTTTCCTTTAGTTTTATTTTAAAGTTTTGTGTTTTTATAACTATCGGTTTTATTTTTAACCGCACTTAAATCGATTTGCCGTAAACGGAGTTGCCGTCAGGGCTAAATCTTGAAAAAAAAGCGACTTAATAACGATTTATTGCTGATGGTTTCCCTTATGACAATACTTAATCAACATAGGAATCCTCTATAACTTAAAAGTGGCGTTTTTAACGAAGGAAGACTAATAAAAGAAGCAAACTGACTTAGCGTTAAATCAGATATTTCTTTAAATTCACAATTCAGTTTAAGATGGGAAAAGCTTTTGAATGGATGGATCCCTATCTGTTTTACATAATTTAGTCGGAATTTCTCTGCCCGGAACAAAATTACATATATATCCTTTTGCCTGGAGGTATATGATGAAAAAGTAATTTCGAATGATTGCGGTGAGATGCGATGCTTAAATAATTTTGAATAACAACTTAACATAATTAGCATATGCTATGACAAAGGTTTCATATTCTCTTTAGCCTTGGGAAACTTCCTGACAATTAGCCTGGCGAGGAGTCGCATAAAGACAGTATGTCTAGCTGATGTCGGCATGCACAATGCTGATGATGGCTAGTCAAATTAATTGAAACTGAAATTCTCCTGAGCCCAAATGGAAGAGTTCAATTTGCAAAAAGTTCAAATCAAGCAGTCGATGGGCGTTCCTTTTCTCAACTAATCAATAAAAAGCTGAAGCTTTACATATGGTAAAACAAACCGCCAGCGCCGAAAGCGCCATACTTGAATATGTCGTATACAAATGCTGAATCTTAACAATCACTTATTTTAAATAATTTGTTCGCAATAGCGAACAAAAACTTCCAGTTGCAATATCGCAAAAGGTGAACTTCGTTTTGATTTTACAAAACATCTCAAGCCATCCTGTTTTGTTTTCGGCTTTTTTCTTAATTTTTTGAATGGAACAGAATCAAGACGCCTGAAAAAATCTTTGTCTGAGCATAATGTAGTTAATCTGATCGCTTTTCATCTTGGGCTACTCGCATATTCTGAAGGAAAATTGACACTCCAGATACATTAAAGTGTTCGTAGTTTTTCGTTCTTGTCACCTTTAATTCCCTTTATTAATTCCCGTTAGCGCCAACAGTTCGAATTATCTGATCAGTGAGTGACTGACAGAGCCAAAACGATTGTACTTCTTGTTTAGACAATTTAATTGAATAGCGCCTGCCTTATACTTAGCCATTGGGCACAGCAAGGAATCACTTTATGTAAATTGCGATATCTATCCTGAAATGATTTAAATTTGGACTGAATTGCCTAGCCAGTGGAATTAGCCACGAGCGATAAGCACAGCAATTGGGGCTTTTACTTTATACAGCAATACTCTTCAAGTACTCTACACTGCATCAAGGTCTGGAAAAATCTTGAATGGGAAATATTAATGAATGACTGGCTATGGGTAAAAAGTGAGTGCACATTTAATGAGACATTGTTAGGTAATGTTCACTTGGCTCACCTTTTGAAGAAAAAATATCTATCATTCTACGTCATGCTTTTGTCAGTTCAGTCACTGCCTGACAAATAATCATATTTCATCTCAATGGTTCTGGAAGCTCCAATAAAGGACCATAACATTTCCACTCCTCAATCCGGATTTAAGAAATGTATCGTTAGTATGCTAGCTAAGGATTCATGTTTGTATAGTAAGTCCAGTTTACAGCTCCATTTTATTTCAATTAATAGAAATTGATCAAGGGATAAAAATGTTGTCAGGTTAAATTTTAGACACAGTGGGTGATCTAGTACAGGTACAAAAAATTACGCTGCACTTGCTACGCCACGAGAGTTCACAGAATGCTTATTTACATAAACTTGATTCCCCGTCGAGCTCGTGCTATATACAAGATTATAATCACCCGGGCAGCGCACGAAACATATCTGTTTGTGGAAAATTTAAATAGCTTGCTTTCAATTCTTCTGAGCTTTATTCTTAAGGATCTCGAAAGAGATTTATTTTTGAAATTTTGAGTGTAATTCAATTCTCCGGTATTTCTTTCTTCTTTTTGTTGAGACAAACTTAAGTGTTAATGTTTCTTTTCTTGTCGAGATGTCAGTTTCAATAAAAACAACATTCATGAAACAACAGTAAAAAAAATTTGACATCAGCCGCCATACAAATATTCCAAAAGGGATTTGATCATAAAGAGAACGAATCGATAAATCCATATTTTTTTAGGTACAAAGAGAAACAAGACAATTCGATATTAGTTTTTGGAGCATAACGTTTCCGTGAAAAAATACCTTGATGCAAAACGCCAAGTAAATACGGACCCTAACTAATAATAGCACTATGGTTTTAAAAGCCGGTTGGCAGATGACAGTTAATGGTTCATTCGTGACATGTTATGCACATCTAACGCAGAAATTTGCATTCACGCTGCTGGTTCGTATCTCTTTAAACAATGTATAACTGCTTTGTGATTGTCATTTCGTGATTGTAAGTTATTTCTGGTCAAGTGATCGACGAGAAAGTGTGTAAAATGCGTCTCGATCTTGAATACATCAGGGCAAAGAAAGAGATCGCGAAAAGCCATTAGGATTATGATAACAGCCATTCAGAATCCACACCCTAAGAAAATAATAACAAATGAGATAAAAATACAACTGTCCATCATTTTCTGTCATATGAGAGACCATTGTTCTTGAATTGGCAGCTGGCAAAACAGTTGCTTAACTAGAGCTCTATCTCTGCCAAAAGAAGAGGAACCATTTTGGTTCAAAAATGAGAATAGCTATGAACAATGCAGCGGAAAGATGGGCAACATGACCATGAGTCACGTAATGAGTAAGTCTCTAATGAGGAGAGTGTGGATAAGTAGAGGAACACGTAGCTGGACTCTTTAAGCAAATATATATGTGGAGCATTTGTACTCCTTTACTTTCATATAGCTGCAAATTACAGTCAGTAGATGTGTCTCTGTGTGGTAAAGTTGTTATTATATCCATAGTTAACTAGTTGTTTATACACGGCTTGCCACTGTGACTCTAAAAGGTAAATAACGAAAACCCCGGCGATGAAAAGATTGAGGAGAATTGTTAACATCAAGAAAAAAAATTGCAAGCCCATTGTATGGCAGAAGATCATTACGGAAAAGTCGATTAGTTTAGTCCCATCTATGACCTAAAAGGTTTAAAATGTGAAATTTCAAACAGAAGTCCTCTCTCAACTCTTTGATATTTAATTTTTTTGCTTGTTGTTATCCGAGAACAGATCGAACGAGTATTTCACACGAAGCAGCTATTGTTAATCGCAGGATAAGACTCAATTTTCACATTTTTTTTTCTGTATCATATTCTGTTTCAGCTAAAACAAGAAGCGATAGAAACAAAACAACATGAGCTTTGTGAATACTAATCAAACCAACGACACCTTTTCTGATGAAGATGACTATTACATAGATGATGGCTGCCCTCCGAGTAAGGAAGCAACGAGGCCTCAATATTTGACCAAAGTCATGATGTACGCCCTTATGATAGTGGTGTCCTTGATCGGAAATGTCTTGATAATATCTGTTACTCGACGCACCCGAAGTATGCAGAAGGTAGCTTTCCACTTTGTTGTAAACATGGCCATCGCCGATCTCGTTACCACGTTGATTAACATGCCGGAAGCCTTGACGGTTGAGATACGAAATTCAGATGACTGGTTGGTAACAGGAGACGCAGGAGTCATTCTCTGTAAGCTATTGCCCTTGTGCCAAGGCGTCTGTGCGTTTTGCTCTATTCTTAGCTTACTAGCGATTGCACTGGACAGGTTCCTCGCCATCTGCTTGCCTCTTAAGAGAATCATGACAGGAAGAATCGCTAAGGTTATTATTGTAAGTACTTGGCTGATTCCTTGCCTTTCAAGTGCCCCAATGTTAGTAGCAAACATTGTCGTAGAAGATCATGGACAGTTTTTTTGTATTGAAAAGTGGCCAGTTCCTTTCGACGACGAAAAGACAGCAAGGGATTACACAATAATTCTGTTTGTGCTCTTCTACGCTCTTCCATTAATAATCATATCAACTTTGTACAGTTGCGTCATCTATAAGATCTGGCGAAGGAGGGTTCCAGGACACCGCTTGGCCTCAACTACTCGACTTTACACCCGTAGCAGAAAAAAAGCATTAAAAATGTTCATGGCAATCGTTCTTTGTTTCGCACTTTGCTGGCTTCCGTATCACGTCTTGTTCTTTTTAGTGACCTTCGATACGGACTTTTACAAATGTGGAGTGCCTCTAACTGTGGCCTTTGTTTCTTTTTTTCTCTCCCATGCCTTAAGTGCACTGAACCCATGCATATACCTGATATTCAACAAAGACTATCGAACTGGGGTAAAGCGTTTGCTAGGATCCTGTGCTAAGTGGTCAGATACGGTACACCCTGAATTTAACACTGGTAGTGATATTAACACACAAACAGGCGTCCAGGAGGATCGGGAGATGACCACGTTTCAAGCTCAAAGTCCTCAAAGCGGCATCAGAAACTCGTCACTGAGAACAATAAAAAAAAAGTAGTGATCAAAATGATCCTAATTTCAAAGCACCTATGGTTAGGTTCAATCTCGGTTTCAAATATTTATCATGAACGTGGTATACGCTCGATTCCAGAAACATTGACACTGGAAAAGCGTTAGACAATAAATTTTGAAATCCAACGAAATGGGTACGCTTGTGTAAAAGATAATAGCTATAATTATTGTTCTCGGCGAAAGATGGATGCCATTCACACATTCCTGATAGAAAAGAATTATTTTAAAAAATTATTTCAGTCTTCAAATTTAACTAATGATTTATGTAAATCATAATTACCGTATTCCGTGGTTCAAGTATTTAAGGTTTCCACATTTTTGCAACTGAGTGAGTATATCATAATCGCTGGCTAACTGAATCGAGTGTGATAAGCCAAGTATTGTTAATTTTTGGAGCAGCTTAGGAAGAACAAAATAGCTTACTGTCTCGCTGCTGCTACCTACCTGATTATTTCGATGAAAGAAGCAGCAGATAAAATGAGTACGGTTGACCAGGAACATCCAGAAGTTCTTAATTCTTATCCGCAAGAAGGAACTTCTGTAATCACAAGTCGCTTTACTAGCATTGCGCGGCGAGAGTATATTTTCTACCGGCCGCACGTCCACATATGCGAATTGTATCTTTTGTTGAGGTGTGTGTGGTTGATACGAAATAAAGTTTTCATCTGAACTTCGATGGGCGATTTTTAATCATTGGAGACCCAAGCTATGTTATCCCTTCCTCGGAAGTCACGAAATATGAAAGTTACGTCGGTAGTGTTTTCTTGAAACTCAAGTAAATTTCTGTATCACTCACACAAATACGTTGCCGAAGTTGTAAGCGTAATTTGAAAGGCATGTAGCAGTACATAATAACGAGGGTTAGTGGCGCATGTGAGTGTTCCAAGGAAAAAAATGAAAACAATTTTCAGTAGTAGAATACAGTGGAATACTGCGTATGGTGAGGCTCAGCACAATGCGGGAAGAATTTCTAGTTCGTTTTTCAACAAGAAAACAAATCCACTTCGAAGGGATCCTTTGAAGATTTTTAAATGTAGATTGCTCTGGATTGAAGAAGAAGCTAGTTTGAAAAAAGAACCAATAACAACAACTGCAGAAATGAAAACGACGGTAGAAAGAGGCAGCTATGGTTGAAATATTTGTGGTTTTAAAGAAAACGATACAACTGATACAATAAGAAAATAGTCGAATTTAAACTTATTGCTCAAAGAGTTAATAAGGTTATTCATTGTCATTTGAGCTTTTGTCCTCGTTTCATTGTAACATAATGCCTAGCTTTTCAGTCTTTTTTGGGTTGTTCGTTTTCTCTTAAAGGAAGGCGATTTGGCGTTGTTAAAGCGGACAGTGTTGGGAGCACCTTATCTCCTCCCTTCTCTTCGCGTTTGGGCCACACCCTAATCAATCTTTTTCTAAATCGAAAAAGGACATCACATTTTCAAAGAAATATTGATATCTGGACTACATGTGCAACCTAAAGTGCAAACTCATTTACATTCACGGTTAATTTGGAATAATTATAGTCGTTAGACGATCGTACCCTTTGGTACCCTTTTTCATAGGGAGGAAATCAGGGTAAATTTTTGTTTTGTCACTGGCTAACCCTTGTCCACGTGACCAGGGTTAGGGACAAAGGCTCCAGAATCATTACATTGCATTTTAACTTTATTCCATGCAGTTTTTACTCTAAAACGATGTGCACCAAACATATATTTAGGGCAAACGGAAACGTGTCGTCAGTGTTATCTTGGTATGGCTTCCTCCCTCCTACGCCTGTGATCTAAGAAGACGTTTCCTGTAGTCTCAAATGATTTTTTACCAGAAATAATAATGTGATGATCCTTATTTGGGAAAATACTGCTTATAATGGGTGTTTCGTGGTCAATTAAAATATTTCAATTTCAGTTAACCAGAGAAGCCTCTATTTTAAAACAAAACAATGCTCAGCCTTTGGTACCAAAAGACAATTTTTCATCTTCATACATACACCAGAAAGGTTCTGTATGTGGCCCCATGTCGGACGTGAGTGGGTTTGAAGTGAACTTAGATCAATAAACACTTAAAGAATATATGAATGGCGATGATTCCCAATTCAATATAATTTGAATATGAAAGAAGATCAGCTGGCTTATGTAAGCCTTTCTCGCGACGCTTTGAGTGTCATTTATAAGCTTACGATCGCTTTTAGGAGATAAACCATAACGTTACCAACGCCATGAATCGCAACTCAAACGCGACAAACAACACATTTTCGAATGACCTCAGCGATATTTTTCTCTATGATTACTGTCCTCTACTTTCACCGGAGGGACTACTCATGAGAGCAGCAAAAATAACAGGATTCGCCGTTATAATAGCAACATCTTTGTTTGGAAATCTGTTAGTAATAATCGTCACTCGCAGAGATCAAAGGCTGAAGAAGGTGGCCTTCACCTTTGTTGTAAACATGGCCATTGCAGATCTTCTCACCACAGTCATCAACATGCCAGAATCTCTTTATGAGCAGATAAAAGATACAGATGAATGGATTGCAGGTCACATCGGGGTAGTGTTGTGTAAACTTTTACCCTTCTGTCAACAAGTTTGCTCGTTCTGCTCTGCTCTCAGTTTATTAGCCATAGCATCCGACAGATTTTTTGCTATTTGCTTTCCACTGAGGAAATTACTGACTCGAAAACTGTCTACAATTATAATTGTGAGTACGTGGTTGATACCTAGTTTTTTTAGTGCACCAATGTTTCTGGTAAACAATGTGGTAAAGGAAAAAGGAATTTTTTTTTGCGTTGAAGAATGGTCAGCCCCGTTTGATTCCTTGGAGTCTCCAAAATATTATACCGTAATTCTTTTTGTGCTCTTCTACATTCTACCGCTGGCCATTGCATCTGTGTTGTATGGTTGCGTCATTCACAAAATTTGGAAGAGAAAAATTGTTGGAAATCACTCATCCAAGACAAAACGGCTGCTTTCTAGAAGCAGACGTAAATCATTGAAAATTTTTATCACCATTTTGGTTTGCTTCGCATTTTGTTGGCTCCCAGATCACGTAGCCTACTTCCTAATTGATGATAACGAGGAATTTCGTGATTGCGGCTTGCCAAGAGACATTTATTATGTTTCATTATTCTTTCCCCATGCAATAAGCGCGTTAAATCCTTGCATCTATATCATATTTAACCAAGACTTTCGGTCTGGCACGAAAGATTTGCTAATCATGTGTCGTCGGGTACTATTTCGATGGAACGAACTCGTGGACTCGAGGAATAGGTCGTCATGCAACGACAAAATGAGTTGGGATGAAGAAAAACAATCAGAGATTTACCCACTTCATTCGTTGAAGACAAGAAGACCACCAAAGATGAGCACTGAATACTGCAAATCATACGTTTAAAAGGTCATGAATGGCGGTCTCATTAATGCATATTTTTAATTGTTCATTAGACTTCATTTGACTTTTGGAAAAAAAATCTATAAATGCAACATAAATTCAATCACTTAGGACCAAAGCGTTACTGATGAAGCGCAGTATTGGCTTCTTAAACGTTTCTCTAAGAAGTGGCTTTTAAAAGGAAAATAAACATAACACATACAGTGTTCATTATTGACCTTTCAAAAAATATTAATAAGCGTACAACAAATAGCTGCAATTAGTGTTGGCGTCCTTGCCTAAAAAACTTCAATTACTTTTTAAGTGCGGAGGTAAATATAGAGTTTAGAAGGCCATAGACGGCATATTAACAAGTCTACCACAGAAAAAACTTTTAGTTTAAACAAATATCTATCAAGAATATTTTAATATAACTTTGGTGATTATTTATTATCCTTTAATCAATGCGATAGTTCAGAAGCGATTGCGTGCAGTTTTCTCGAAATGCTTGAATGCGGAAACTGGGGAATATCACATTATTTTTTTGCTGACCATGACGCGAACCTCTATGAGCATTGAATGGAATGCAAAAATCTGAAGAAGAAAAGCTGGAAGCAGTAAAAAGAAAATATGTGAATGCTAAATTGTATGTTGTTAGCGAAAACATTAAAAGAAATATTACTTACATTATGTACGTTCTGAGAGGAAGTTGTAGTTATTTGTGACCCTCCACGGAAAAAAAAGTGAAACTTGCCTTATATAATTTCTTATGCATCATCACTACTACTCGGTGCTCGTTGGAATTCTCCAAGTGGTTAAATAGAGCTCCCTTTGGCCCAATTTTCGCTCACACTCTTCGGTTTTGTTTAGTTTGCAGCATACTGAAAGCCTGTCACATATGACACCAGTTAGTATGTCTGGTTTAGCGCATTAGGGAGTTCAGTCTCTCCATTTGCCTCTGCAATGGTAAAGCATCGAAACGCCAAATCTGACTGATGGGGTTCAAGATTTAAATTTTGCTCAGGGACTCATTTTAATTTTGTTTCGAGCTCAAATGATAGCTTTCTTCGTTCGATAAACGAGCGCAACTTGAAATCCATCATCTCTCTTAAACTATTTACCCAGCTGTCTTTGGTTTTGGGTGACCCAAAGAGCATGCGCATGACTAAATAATCCGGTTGAATGGATGAATGCCTTTATTTAAAAATAAGAATAAACCTCAGGGTAGCCCCGTCAGAAGCCCTAAAGAGCCACCTGCTATCAATGGGAGCCCTGGGTATAAACTAAATAAAACACATTACAATTTCATGCGAAATACAAACACGAAGATATAAAACACATTTATAAGGCTTTAGATTTCTAAATTTAAAATTATGTATATATATCGAAACGCCAAATCTGACTGGTGGGGTCCAGTTTAGGGTTCTCTCTCGACCTCGTTGTACCACGTTAACCATCCTCCCCACCCTTCCCCCCTAATATTTTCCCCTTTCCCCTCGTCCCTTCATCACTACTATTTCCACGAGGAAGCAGCCAAATGAGTTTGCACCGGATCAAATTACACCTGCACCTCTGCATACATTGCATTTATCCAGAAATTTTTATTACAATATGTCCTGGGTAAATTAGTATTTTCTATTAATATCCTTCTTCTTGGTCAACATCAGTCTTGTGCCGCAACTGTATAATTCATCAAAAAGAGATGAGTTTATCACGGCTGATGAACGGTGGCATGCGGTTATTATTAAATTGAAGTAAAATTGTAGTCTCATAATGAAAAAAAATTTAGTTGACATGAATAAATTACTGTACCTGACTTGAACAAGTGCTGAGGAGATTAAAGCGCGGTTTATTTTATAGGTTGCTTAAAACAGCTTTATATAAATCTTAGAATCGTGAATGTGCTCAAAAGAATTATTCATAGCATTTTTGCAAAAGGTCAGATTAAAGCAGGAACACTTAGTAGTTTTGTTTTTTTTTTTCAGTGGGTGAACCAAGTTCAATTATATGCAAGGGCAAATAAGCGTTTCAGGTCTTCGCGATGTAAGGGTTGCCATGAATTTGAGTTAATCGGCCTTTTTCAGTAAATGATTAAATAGACACTATGGAATGCAAACGGTTATGGTCTTTAAGGAGCTATTTAGTTAGCTTACAATGGATGGACTGCTAAAAATGGACTTAGCAAATACCAGTTTTTATTCCACATGTAGCCACTTTCAATACCCTCATTCTCATCTCAAAAAACGTCTGTTAAATTTTTCGGTTAAATGTATTGGCATTTGGGCGACCTTATCTTTGCAACGCGCTCAACCTTAGAATTGTATTTCGGCTTAGTAGAACCAGTCGGTTCCAGTGATTGATTCTCAAGGCCGGTAAAAATTCGTGCGCAGCTTTCGTATATTTCGCTGAGTCCCTTCCGATAGTTTTTGTTGAAGATGAAATATATACAAGGGCTGATAGCCGCGTTAGAATGCATAATAAATAATGCACAGAAATGAAAGTTGACTTCATCTATTCCAGGCGGTATTTTTTTTATGTTCCAGACGAAGAGGAGAAGCCAGCTAAATATTGTGACAGGCGTGATGCAAGAAACGAACACAACGACCACCGTCACAACTTGTTTTAACACTCTTCTGTTTTCTTGTTCACGCCTTTGTCGCTCCCGACAGGAGTGTTCGGTGGGTCCTTTCTGCTTCCAAACTTCAATTGCAATGGCTGTGTACAATATAATAATCACCGCGATAGGAAAAAATATCAGCACCAAGAAAATGATCAAAAAGTAAACTTTTTGAGTGGAGGCAGTTTCAAAGGCCGGCTCCCATTCGTTCTTGCAATATGTATCGTTCCCTTCCACTATCAGTTTGAAAGTGTAAAAGTACGTCGAGTGGAGGCCTACGGCAACAACCCAGATGAGACAAATTACTATGCGGCAAATTTTAGGCGTTATTACAGCTGGTTGGAAGGGAAATTTCACCGCGTGGAATCGATCGAAGGCTATAACAACCAGGCTAAGTATCGAAACGGCTGTTGAGATGTCTTGTGAAAAATTCACAAACTTGCATAATATTTCTCCTCCGATGCCAACGACAAGCCATCGCGATTTGCCGATCACGATCTGCGCTATCTCCTTCGGAACAGCAAACAGCGGAAACAGCAAATCGCTGATGGCCATGTTGGCGATCAGGTTGTTAGTGGTGGTCCGCATTCTGGTGTTTCGGAAGATAATAATGATAACCAAAGTGTTTCCTACCAGCGACATGAGCATGATTACACAGTAACATAATGCTTTGAGCACTTTCACAGTCTCCCCTTCTCCTGCAGTCGAGTTGCTGGTTGTAGAGTTCATCATGGTGGCTTTAGATTACCTTCACAAGTAATGTAACTGTTGCCGTCCGAACTATTCTTTGGAGAAATATTTATCAATTCATACAAATTTATGTGCTCTGGTTCTTGTAATAAACGCAAATGTATGGCCAAAACAGCTGCTGATTCGTTTAGACGCCTACTATAAATTTCTTGAAAGCTCTGGAAGCGTTCCGTCGTGTATCCTACGTTGATCACCTTAAAAATGGCGTTGTTTCAACCTTTTTACAGGGTAATATTGAAAAGAAGGAATCTTTCTTTCCATAGCGATAAGAGTTTAAAAAGCCTGTCTTCCTGTCCTAGACTTGATTGATAAGTATACAATTTCTGTGTACTTTGCAATGAACGTGTGTCTTTAGCCGCCGAAATGACGATTAAAATTCTTCGTTCGTTCGAGGACCCCCATTCTAAAAAGACTCATTCGCGTTTGATTTACCGTTTTCGATTTACCAGACGTAGCTAAAACTGCCTGAATGCGCAAATCAAAAACACAGCTCGTTTTCTCTTCATTCTGCCGGTAATCTCCGTAATACTACAAACGACACCTGCAAGCCCCAAGGATAAATTAAAACTAAAAAATGTCATTTGCGATTGCAATTTTCCTACGCAAGAAATCAATTTTTATTTGCATCCGTAGCTAATTCACCAAACATTCTGGTGAATTTTTATATTGATTTATTACAAAGCAAAAGCAGAAAGAAATTAATTTGAGGGAAGCGTTTGTTTTCCGCCCATAGCTTGACGGACGTTTTTGACACTCAGGCGAAAATTAAATATGGTGGGATTAAACAGTAAAATATGATTTGAATATATAACGGCAGGTGGGGCATTGAGCTATATTTTCCTCGAATAAAAAGAGAAGAACGATGGGTTCGAAAACGTTGTTACAACCTGCTCCTTTGTTAAAACTGGAAGTGTCATTGAGCAACAGCAGATGAAAATCTACTCTAAATCTACTTTAGACTTGCCTTCGTTCATAGGGTGCATCACTTCAAAAAAAAGTCGTTAAATCTAATTGACCACCAGTTCCAAACAATTTATAAGCAACTATTTTCTTAACCAACTAGCTGCTGGAAAAATACATGTCAGAGTAGACAATGCAAAGATTCTTCAAGAATTAATTTAAAATGGAAGTGGATATCCTAAAGCTCTACTGCTCAATGATGATAGAAGGGTTTGGATAAAGAAACTTCTCAGTTGACAATGCCATTTACAGTTAAGCGCAGATCCGGATAATAACTATTAAAGTTACTTAGGGCTTTTTGTCTTGATGCGCACTTTTCCTCCAATTCATATAATTTTAACATTTAAGTGAAGCCGAAAAGTTAATTAAGACATTCTTATCTATCAGGGGAAATTGGTGTTAAATCTATCAGATCAAATTGACGCTTCGAAGTCTTCGAGACGTAGTGGGTATTAACAAAGAAAATCACAATATTTTGTTTTCAACCGATGCCAAACGTTGTAGTTTAAGATCCGGCTGTAATTTTCCACGGATATGTCATTTTCTTTCAGATCCTAAACGAAGGAGGTTATTAATGTTGCCGTCCAAATAAAACTCAAACTCAGGCGTTCAAAAACAAATAAAGTTACCACAACTATCAAAATACAAACCATGTCATTGGCAACAGGATTATTGAAACAAGCTTATATGAATATATTCAAAGATGCAATATCGCAAATACCTCTCATCGTCAAAAAAATGTACGTAACAATACTCGAGGATAAATGAATCTAAAAGCGGCATTAGAGAAGACGAACAACATATTCATGTTTAGTTGTTATAAAGCCAGAGACGTGATGAATTTACATGAAACTGAACCACGGAAAAATTTTTAGTCAAAAATGCATCCTGATCGAAGTGATTTGATAACTAAGGATAGAGAATTATTATTCAACGTGTTAACAAGCTATATTATAAAATTCAAGCTTCATTTTATGTATATTTTTGCTTATGTAATCTTCATTAGATTTGTAATTCGTTATGAACAATTCGAATTTATGGTCAATTTCGATCTGAATACTATATGAATACCGACATACCCAGGATTTTTTAGACAAGAACTCAGGTGGAAGAGATTAGGGTCACTGAAAATTTGTTGGTTGTTATCATAAGCGAAAAGGATAAAATGCATTCGTTTGTTTAGTTCATTTCTGCCTGTTCAGTTGTCATGGTAACGAAGAGCGTCTCACAGAAAAAAAATCACAAAGGGGCCATTTCTTGAAAGTATCGCCACGGGACGGTCTTGAAAGAGCCTTCTTTTTTTTCCTTTTTTTCCAAGACCGAAATATGGAAAGTTTTGAAATTCAAACAAAAAAAAATCAGTAATGAGCTTTCATTAGAATAAAGTAATGCAAGCACCCAAATGATTTGTAAACTATATTTCTAGCATGTCTTCACTCCAAATTAATATGGATCACAAGTGTAGCTCACATAATTTGATTTTAATTGTAAAAAAGTATTCAGGACTTGACGAATCTTAACTGGTAAAAAAGTTTACAAGGATGAAGTCTTTTTATGGTTCAAGATTAGTTTTATTTTGGTTTTGTCACCAATTTTTCCCTCATTTAGTAGTGGTGTTGATAATTAAATGCCAGTGTTTTGTTTTGATTTCACTTTGATCGGCTCCAGCTTGTTGTCCAACAACGTTTCGCCAACGTTTACCGAAGGCTCATAGCGAGCAACAACTACGAAGCAGATTCTTCCTCCTGATGGTGATATAAAAAATAATGTTTTAGTTTCAAGCCTCTGCAGATTTACAAGTACTTCAGCAAAGCACGTAGACACTAGTATTAAACATAAGTTACCCTCTTTGTTATCATTCCACGAAATTTCTCCCAATGTCTCCCCTCCCCCCTCCCCCCTCCCCCCTCCCCCCACTTTTTACGGTTGAAGGAGCATGTAACGTTGACGTTAACGTTAGAAAGAATAATAGAATTGATCACTCACTATTATCGATGAACTGTGCTCTACCAAAACCGACTTTTGTGGTATTCTTCCAAACGATTGGAGTCAATCGTTGTATCGCTGGGGTTGCTGGTTTCTTTTTCCAATTAAACTTCTTACTTTCAGCATACCAAAGATTAGTCGCTCGAGCTCCTGTCAAAGGTGAGCCTGCATGAACAGTAGAGGAGAGGGGTTATGCGAAGCCACCAATGCTACAATTCACATCGCTGCCTGGACGTGGAATTTGGTCAAATTCATCAAAATACCGTAAAAGTATCGTTTGAACACATTCCTTAAATCAATTTGAGGAAAAGCCGTATTCAAACATTATCATAGCTAGTCTCACTAGACAAAAAGTTAAAAAAAAAATGTAAAAATTAATTTTATCCCAAACACATGCCTGTAAAGGTCGCCTAGATAACGATTGTAAGGGGAGGATTCTAACCTTTAAACGAGCAACGAAGGGCGATGTTCTCTCCTTGTCCTACCCTGTTTTTCAAAAGAGAATGCGTTGTGTTCCTCTGCTTTGCCAATTCCGATGCAAAATTCTGAGCTTCCATATTAAGCCTCTCGTCTTCAGTCAGCGGTGGCACTCCATTGAGCAGGCGCTTTTTATTGTGTTCATAAAGGAATTGTTGTCTGAACCTGGCCATTGGTGTCCCTGTTAGAAACAGGGAAACAGGTTTAATCTAAGAACATAATCCAGCATATGATTGTGCATTTGTGTGTTACGACACATCTACGTATCCAGGGAAGCATTTAGTCACGAGAGGGAGCGGGGAAGGTAACCTGCAAGAGGATCTCAGTAGGGTACCGTTAGTAGTAAAAACGTAAAATAAAAAAAGCCGTTGGGCGTACTATTCTTCTTAAAGAAATATAACCTTAAAAATCTTTCCAGTAACCCCAACGGAAAGAAATTAACCTTTGGCCGTTAAATTACCAAAATTTTGACCGTTAGCCGTAAAAGCCATCACTCCACCGAGACCCTCCTGCAGTGGATTACCCACCCATCCAGTAGGAACGATAACACCATGGTTACGTGCTAAGGCAACCGGAATAAGCCCTGAAAATAGCCAGTTAACATTCTGTATTTATTTCCGCTGAGTGTCAACCTACCTGGTACGTTAGTCTTCAGGTTAGATCGTACGTTGTGTAACACGCGCCTCTTTGGGACAATGAGAAAGGAAGGGACGACACCATAGTTCCTAGCAGGTTGTTGGATCCCGTTTGAACGGGTCCTCTGTGAGCTTACCGCAGAAGGAATGTTCCCTTGAACCATTCCTTCCTGAATTCCGGCAGATGAAGCTGGAGTAGTGGCTGGATCGAGATTGACATTTGGCACGAGTTTGACTTCATGAGCCACGTACTCACCGGAATTCACTTTCATGGCTGGTGATTGCGCTGCCGTTTGTTCGGTCTCTAGTGTTAAGGCTTCTGATTGATCGGGCTTTTTCTCTGGGAAAGACGACAATTGCGACCAAAATTCAGATTTCCTTTTGTCCAAACATCCACACGTGTGGCTGTTGAACATTAAATTGCTTAACATTATATTTCTGCTTTGTCTACTGGACCCGTTTCTCGAAGTCCCGGTAAGTTTACGGGTCCGAAGCCAAATTTTAAAATCAAAATTTAAAGCATAGAGAAACCGGTTCTGTCACTCTAACAAATACAGTTTGTTCCTTTAGCCAACAGTTTATTGCATAATTTTCAAAACCTGCATCTTGAATGAAAACAGAACAGCTTTACGGGCCAGTTAAATTACCGGGACCTTCGAGAAACGAGCCCCGGGCCCGGCTATGCCACAGTGATTGAGCAAGTCAATCATCGTTCTCGTGCTACAACAGTTCTACTTGGTGCAGATCTTCTATTTTCTCTAAAAATTTGGCTCTGGACCCAAAAACGAAAATAGTCTTGCATTGTTGGAGTCCCACTGCGAAAGCATTTAATCGCTGTTCACTAAGGGGTGAAATCGTTGGTCTTTATTGCCGGGGAAAAAAAACTATTTGCCTGCAAGTGTTACAGCGTTGGATTATTGAAATTCATTGACTTCGAAATGAGTATTGTCTCATATTCATTGTTAGATGGTTCCATCTTGGTTGTCAATCTCGGTAGAATTGCTTCGTTTATTGCCCAGTCACAGTTACAATACTTGTGATGTACATATGTGAAAAAATCTGGTTTTTTTTTTTTTTTTTTTTTTTTTTTTGTAATTAGAAGGCTACGAGAGTATTTTGGTTCTTTTTGACTGATCGAGAGAATTATTTTCGGCTGAAATTCTTCAGATGTAAGTTACAGGAAAGCAGGCTAGACAGGAACGATACCTCCATCCATGACAAGCTTAAGATTGAGCAGTAAATTTATCGCTGGGTGTTGTTCTTTATTCTGTTCAGTTACAGGAAGCAAATATGTGCCCTCGGGCGCCTCTGAAGCTATGGCGGCTGGAGCAGGATCTCGGGCGTCCTGACCTTTCAAAAGTGCCGGAACATGGATGGTAACTGAAACAGACACATATAGTTAATAAGATCATGCACGCTTTATGTTGAAATGACAATGGAACGACACGAGGTCGCGCCAACGTGCGTGAATTTGCCAAAAGTGCGCATTTGTTTTGCTTAGTGGTTTTTCATTTGTAAGTCATTCAGTCTTTGCACCATTTTTTCTAAACAAAAACATGTCGTTTCTTTTCCATTATGTGAGCGAAAAAAGTTGATGAACTCTTTCACACTCTCCCCCTGACGTAAATATCAATCAGAATGAATAAGTAAAACTAAACTGATTCTTACTTGGAGCCGTACTGATGGTCTGCATTCTGTCATCTCTTTTACCAAGAAGGGGTTGAGGCGCAACTTTTTTTCGGACTAAATCTAAAAAGAAATAATGAAATTGATGAACCACAAAATGTCGTCGTCGTCAAAATTTTATGTCTGGCTAAGGTCTTTAGACCTAAGGGCGATATGGAAAAAAAATTCTCTACTCTCGTTCTCATCGTCTTCGTTTTGACAACTTCATACTTCCTCTAAAACACTTCAACAAAGCACAAACTATTCTATGCTTTAAAAATCCTCGAAAAACTTTGTTCCGTTTTCTTCATTTTCAGTATCCCCGCAATTGCCATGCGTATTTTATTCGACAACCATTGTTTTTTTTTTTATTTCTCGGACTTCTTTGAAGTTAATGAAGCAGATAACAGGTGGATACACGACGATGAAAAGCGAAATTAAATGTGTTCATGTGATCTGTATTACATTGAAGGTTAAAATACTAATGTTTACAAATCACACCTAACGTTCATTTTTAAATATATAGAATGATTCATTGCTCCCCAATCCATCAGAGCAGGGAACATAATCAAGTACATACTTCAAATTTCGTCTGTGGTTTCAGCAAATTTAGGTTGAATTTTCTGTACTGATCCATGAATTTGGATGTTGGTATAATTCAGTTCAGTTGTCTGGTATAAGTGCATTGAAAAGCTTTGTATCCGGTGTATAGAATTACATGGGGTATGGATATAGAATAAACATTGAGCTTACCTGCTGTGGTTGAAACCCAATAAGTAATAAAGAAACTCCATAACAAGAACAACATGTCGGGTTTAGTAAGCCTCGGGGCTTCAATAAAAGATTATACAAATTTAATACAGTCGATTTGAAAAACAAAGCTCTGCAGTCGTTCTGCGAAGTAATAGATGCGGGGGCTGAAGAACAGATGATGAGGAACAAGGTAACTAGTTTGTCTGTGACCCTTGTAACACCTAGCCATGCCACCAGAAGGGGAAGTGCTTTTAGCGGGTTGAACTTTGTTGGAAATCACGAACCAAAACAAAGTTGCCACCCGTACATGGAGTAACTGAAAGTGAACACCGGACATCCAAGTGAACACGACAACTGAGAAGCATCGTGAAGCAATAACTCCGCACTGATTAATCTATTTAAATCCAAATATTTCTTTAGTCTTTTTTTTTCTTCCATCGAAGGAGAATTTCAACAAAATAACATCACTATCCCTCGGATCCAGAAGAAATGCTTTATTGTGAATCATTAATGTAACTTTCTTAGGATTCACAAATGGAAGATCTAGAGGTCATAAGCTCTTATCGATACACGTACTCGATTTTACTCTTTCCTCCTAACAGGCATGTTACGAGTTTTTCCTTTATATAGGATCGTTGACCCGTAGATTTCAATTATGATACAACTTAACTAAGAATTCAGTGACTGAATTGAGGATACAATATCTTCTCCTACTAAATCCTACAAATCCATAAGACCGCCCATGGTACAAGGACATTAATAAGGGGGGGGGGGCTCTCTGATTGAAATATATAAAAAGAATGGGCCATTAGTAAATTATTCATAGCATCAGAGCCACTCATATGCAATTATTTTCACAGACATCATCATACCTTCCATCATTTATTGCATACAAATTAAAGTGATGTTTCATTTTATTTATTAGCTTTTACATCACTCAGATTTGCATAACCTGAGTTACTCGTTCAGCCTTTGCTCAGAGACCTTTTTCGTGTCCATGAGAATGTCAACCGTCGGAAAATTTTTCGAAACGAAATTTATTTTTCATGTATGAAGAAAAAACAAGTTTTTCTTTCATATGAAAAGAAAATAAGCGATTACTGGTCAATCATTCATGTGTAAGCCTTTAGTCAGAGCGAATAAAGTAGGGCTGACGCTCGAACGCTAGCTTAGAAACTCTTTGCTGATCAGCTCAGTTGATGAAACCAAATTTTCTTGTCATACTCCTCCACTAACAAAGTACCACAGTTTCTCTAGAAACTTTCCCCCTTTAATCATCGACGTATCTATTTTCAAAACTTCACAGCTTAATAAAGATTACACTTCTGAGATTATCATTGTTAGTACAATATACTGGGAAATGCATGGCTGGAATTTATAAAAACAATAAGGGAAATTTTTTAGCTGTATGCAGTTTGGTATTTTAAAGCAAACCCGCGCTTACCACCTGTGGAAAGCAAAGTAAACTGCATTCTAGGTTACCAGTTCACTCAATCATAACTGGCGGGATATTGATTGAATTTATTCATTGAGTGCTGAGTATTTTTACCACTTTAACTGTTTTAAATATATTAGTTTGCCCATTAGTCGCTATCGTCATTTTCAACCATAGGAAACTTTAGAAACCGCTATTCACCGAAAATGGGGTTTCTTAACATGTTAATTTGTAATTAACTACTGTCTACCTAAAATCAACAAGTGTAATTCAGACTTAATGTTAGTTTAGCTAAAGATTCACTAAGTTGATCATTTGATCTGACCATTGATGATACAGGTCGCTTTCGATAGAGGATATAGGGAAACTCAAAAGTTAATTAATTTACTTCCTATAGTTTCCTTTTAAACGCCAGTTATGTGGACTCATACTAAAAATCCACAAAAGATCACTATCCTAAGATAAGCGCATGGATAAGACAATTGCACTATGGGGCGATGTTTGATTAACCTAATTCCGAGTCTTGTTTACATAAACCTTTTTCTAACCCAATTTCACATTATTGAAATGGGGAATTTGCGTATATTGGTATTTGCGCTAGAATGGCACCGGTCGAGGAAAGCAGAACCATAGAGAAAATTATTAAAAAGAGTCGATCAGCAATCTTAGATACAAAGATCCAGAACTCTCTGTCCAGTTCAGCGTCTTCCTCTTTCTTAGATCTCCTCGCGAGCTCACTAATTCCCTCCGTGATTTTTGTCAAGGTGCTTGGGGGTTTGGCGATTGTAGCAGGCAGCTTGCTCGGTGACAAGTTTACTGGTTTAAATGTTTTTGCTCCCACCAGCTTGATGCAATTGCTTTCAAATTCCTCCACCTTGAAATGAAATTAAGAAAGGGAAAAGGAATATTTGAAATCAGTTACTGGAATTATGATCACCAAACGTCAAAGTTTTCTGATACATTGTTTAGTCGTTTCTGGTTTCGGCGGAAAGTTTACTATTAAATGGAGTCTTTAAAAGACAGAGCAGAAAAATTTTTTATTGATACACCCTCTATGGCTGAGCTTCACCATTGTGAGACTCTGTGAGACAAATGATTTGTATCAGGTACTGCTCAGCAAGTGAACCAATGTATACTTATATTGCACACGAACCAATGTATATGTATAAGCTAACCTTCAATTTAAGACCAAAAAAACCATATGTATTCATACTTTTAAATCATGAGATTGGAAGTTGAAATTACTAGCTCAACAGGTATGATGAGCTGTATTTCGGAGGAAATTATACTGTCAGCGGCGTCTTTCTTTGGCTTTATTTTCCCCGTGCAGATGTCACCAGTTGAGGACAATTAACAGCCATCTGGAAGATAATATAATAACCTCAATACCTTAACATCCACTCGTCTTGTGGACCTGACGTTAGCTTTTGGATGTCCGGTGTTGATGCACAGCATTCTCGCCAGATAATGAAGAAAGAACACTCGAACCCACTGTGGCATCTCCGTCTTCTTGTAACTATTCAAGGATATGCAGTTGGCAACCAAGGTGCCACCAATCTGAAACATTGCAGCCAGCAATATTTTAACAATGATAGGCGTAGCATCTGATGTTACTGGAATGCTATCTGAGACATTAAGGATAACCACAGACATGGCTAAGAATGACTCTATGACAAGAGTCACTCGTTCGCCGGATTCCGGTGGAAATGCAAAGGTCAGGACTGAGAAGGAAGTGACCACCATACAAGGAATGATGATATTGAAGAGGAAGAAGCCAGGTATACGGCGCATATGGACGTAGAAGGTTATGTCAGGATATGGTTCTGGGCAGCAGCTGCAAAAAAGAAAGGAGAAAGTTCTTAGGTACAAACACATGAAGAAACACCTCAAAGGAAATCGAATCACACACAGTTACTGTTTGAAAAGAAAATTATTTGTTGCAGAAATCGACCTCTTCAAACAATTGGTATCAGCTAAAAAAATTCATCTTGATTCATGACTGCTATATTCATCCTTTTTTAAGTCAAAGTATTATGTTTTCAATCTAAAAAAAAACTTTAAACACATAATAGACAAGCACAAGAGACACCCAACTTTCAGATCAATGCATGATTGGATGTTTAAACAGTTGTGGTCTGTTAACTGTTAACGCACGAATGCTGGCAATTCCTGTAATGTCTCTACTGCCCGCTGATGGCGTGTGAATGTTGCCAATTTTTCATTAGTGAGCTGTACTTACTTCAATTTTTATTCTCAAGCAATTTACGCCAATTGCAATTTGTTTGTTTAATTTACACCAAACAACCTAAATATTAGTCGCAACTCAGTTTTGTTTACCGTCACGGCAGAATACACAGCCATGCCAGTATTTGTCAACCGAAACTGTCAACGTACCTTTCTGTTGCTGGTATATCATTTGGAAAGTCATGTACCTTGAGAGCCGTGTGTCTGTTTTCCGTGAGTGTACCCGTGGCTAGTAGTTGTTCTAGATGGTCACGTGTCTTGGTGTGGACTTCGCTTTCCATGTTCATCAGTCTCTGTGGCATGTTTCGATT